TGACTCACAGCAATCTTATAGAACAGAGTAGAATTGCTCCTTATTTCTAAGGTTGTGATCTTTATAGATACACACTGTCACATCTTTCTCCCATAGAGTGGCTGACAGTTTGGTTAACCACTGCATCAAAGATTTTAAGGATAGACATGGCAAAAACTAGACCAAGTTAATTATCTTGTGAGAAATAACTTGACATTAGAAACAACTCATAACTTAAAAGTTGCTTCTGATCAAGGTGGTCATGTCTTGGTACCTTGGAGGAGAGCTGCGACAGACCATTTGGAGGACCCCATTAGTTAGGTGAATAAAGGCTACTGGGCACATAATATTGTGGAGCAGGTATCTCTTCTTCCTACTTTTATGTTGTTGTTTTAGTGCCATTGAGATGGTTCTGACTCATAGCGACCCTGTAAAGGGTTTCCAAGGAGTGGCTGGTGAGTTTGAAATGTTGACCTTGTGGTTCAAATCCTCCGTGTAGTCCAGTGCATTAAGCCGCAGAACCACACTAGGACAACTCCTACCTTTATAGAGCCATCCATTCACTTTATGGTATCTTTAACAATATAGTAACTATTATTTATTGAAGACCTACTATGTGCCAGGACTTGACCAGGAGCATTATAAATATCTATTGGGCGTATGGCACTGTAGGATAAGCACTGGACTGCTAACCTCAAGGTTGGCAGTTCAAAGTCAGCAGCCACTCTTTGAAAACGCTAAACAGGGTCACTATAAGTTGGAACCCACTTGGCAGCACTCAACAACGACAACTTTCATTCTGTTCACTATTTTAGTATGGTGGTGGCTGTGTGCCGTGGAGTCAGTTCTGACTCAGAGCGACCCTGTACAGGGTTTCCGAGGCTGTAAATCTTTACAGGAGCAGAACGCCTCATCTTTCTCCCGCGGAACAGCTGGTAGTTTCAAACTGCTGACCTTGCGGTTCGCAGCCCGATTCGTAACCACTACGCTACCAGAGCTCCTTCTATTTTAGTATAACACCATTCTATATACTACATTTCTGGCTGCCTCACTACCATGTGAGCTTATTCAATGAAAGACAATGTTTCAGCTGATTTTTCCAGCATTTAGTAGTTCCTAAGTACTGGGTTAATGCGCTGGACTGAAAGTCACTTTGAACCACAAGGTCAGCTGCTCAAGCTCTTCAGCTGCTCCTCAGAAACCCTATACAGGGTCACTATGGATCAGAATCCACTCGACAGCACTTAACAACAAGTATTCCATTAACACTTTAAAGCTTGAAAAAGTAAAGATGCCAAAAAAAAGAAAAAAGAAAAAGTAAAGATGCCACTTTGAGGACTGAGGTGTCAACGACCAAGTCATGTTATTCTCAATCGCCTCATTATGTATGTGAAAACTGGACAGTGTAACAAGGAAGACTGAAGAAGAATTGATACCTTTGAATTATGAAATGTCAGAACAAACAAACCTATATTGGAAGAAGTATGGCCAGAATGCTCCTTAGGAGAAAGGATGGTCAGTTTGGCTTATGTAGCTCTGGTATCATAGTGTTATGAATCGGGCTGCTAACCTCAAGGTGGGCAGTTCGAAACTACCAGCTGTTCCCTGGGAGAAAGATGAGGTTTTCTGCTCCCTTAAAGATTTGCAGCCTTGGAAACCCTGTGCAGGGTCACTAAGAGTCAGAACCCACTCCAAGGTACTTAACTATAACATCAGGAGGAATTAGTGCCTGGGGAAAGACATCATGCTTGATAAAGCAGAGGGCCATTGGAAAAAGAGGAAGACCCTCAAGGAGATGGAGTGACACTGTGGCTGCAACAATGAGCTTAAACACAGCAAGCATAGCAATCATTGTGAGGATGATGCAGGGCCGGACAGTGTTTTGTTCTGTTGTTCACAGGGGTCACTATGAGCCAGAAATGATTTGACAGCATCTACCAACAAGAAGTATTCTGCTGCGTGGAACTCCTGCCATGTCTTCAGACTCATTGAAGAATCATGGGATTTTTGAGTAAGAGAGTACTTAGAATCTTTGATACAATTTCCTTTTACATATATGAAAAATTAAGTTGAAACAAGTAACTTGCCTTCGGTCATACAAACTAGTAGTAGAATGAGAATTAGAGCCTAGTTTCCTTGTTTTTCAGCCCAATGTTGTTTCTTCTGAAGAGATGCTCTACCAAAATACAACTAAATATATTTATCTCTTTTGTCTCCTCCTTGTCACACCCAAAATTTAAGAGTCATTGGACTTTCAGGTCATTTCTATGATATTTTCTAAAATATCCACTTTCAATATATTATTTCCTTTTATAGTCCTCCATACCAAACAGAGCAGAGTCCAAAGTCCAAATTGTTTGTTTTTACTGTAGAGGCAGCATGCGCTATAGTGAGTTTTAGGGGAATCCTGTCTCTATTTGCACCAATTAAGCTCCTTGGGTGTGACTGTTGTTGTTGTTGTTAAGTGCCGTCGAGTTGGTTTCGACCCATAGCGACCCTGTACAGGGTTTCCGAGGGTGTAAATCTTTACGGGAGTAGAAAGCCTGATCTTTCTCCCGCGGAGCAGCTGGTAGTTTCGAACCGCTGACCTTAAGGTTCGCAGCCCGATTCGTAACCACTACGCTACCAGAGCTCCTTGGGTGTGGTGCTGTGGGTTAATGCCCTGGTCTGCAAGGTCAATTTGAACTGCAAGGTCGGCGGTTCAAGCTCACCAGCTGCTCCTTGGTCCAGGGTCGCTATGGGTCAGAACCGACTCAAAGGCACTTAACAAGTTCTTCCTACAAGCATCCTTTGAGCCAACCAAATCAAAATGCTTGTCCACATATACATTACATCATTTCCTCACCATTTCTTGAATTTTCTGACTGGAATACCCTCCTTATCAACCTGTTGAGCGTTAATGATTTGCTCCTTTTCTGGACTGAAAACCTGTTTGTAACGCAGAAAAAAGGAATCTGACATTAAAAACACAAATGAATGTGTGAATTTTGAATGCCCAGCAGCTTGTTTAGTGCCCTCAAGTTGGTAAGACTCTTAGTGACCTTATATAAGGTTTCCCAGGAGTGGTTGGTGGGTTTGAACTGCCTGCTGACCTTGCAAGGTTAACAGTCTAAGGTTTTATTGTCACACTAGGACTTCATACCAGCTAGCAGCATTGCCCTCATTATAAGTAATGTCTTTTGAAAATGACAGGAATATAACTTAATGTGAGAAACCTTTACCAAAACTTCAGTAAAATAAGAATTTTTAGGAAATATCAGCATATGTTGACTCAGCCTGTTTTGTTTCCTTTAACTCTCTTTTATCTGATTGTCATTCTTACTCCCTTGGTGAACTCCATTCTCCCAACATCCAACCCCTGAATACTTGTGGGAGAGGAATCCACAAATTCCTTTGAGCCTCCATCATTGGAGCAAATTCTCAGTAGCTAGAAAAGGTCTGGGCTGTTGTTGACAGGAAGTTGTTGTACTTTTGGCTACTTTGTGCCTGGGGCAAAAATTGCAGAGTCCACCTGGAAGCTCTGCAAGATAGAACAGTGAATAAACCTCACTTCCACTGACTTTAAAGTTTTTTTCCCTGTGTGGATTCCGTGACCATATCACTGTGTCCAGAACTGGCATCTGGCATGCAATTCACAACAGTCGTGAGACCCTCCAAGTTTTCCTCTCTCACTTAAAAAATTCTTCAGCGGCACATTAAAAAATTGTTTTGGATTTAAGCTTTCAAGGCCTCCTAGGGCTAGTCCACTTTGGGACTGCAGGCTGCGGGCCAAAGAGACACAGAAGCTGATTCTCTAGTCTAGAAATCCTTTCTATCCCCCTGAATGTCTGTCCAGGACCTTTCTTCCTGCTCACAGGAGGGGAAGAAGTCTCTTTCCCCACCTCCCACGGCGTCCCTGCTCTCTTTAACAACACCTATCAGTCTCTCCAACGCTTAGGGCAGCTGGGGACTCTCAGCCTGGAGCTCAGGGCCCTTGACCAGGCACTGGGGCCCCGGGGTCCACGCCAGCCCTCGAGCAGGCTTAAGGGCATGTTGCCAGCAGTGGGGGTGACCTCAACTTGCCAGCTGCAAGGGCACTCCAGCCCCGGCCCTCGGGGCGGGTAGCCCAATGGGCAGCCTCTCCCCGGAGGCGGACACAGGCCGGAAGCCACCCCGCGGCACAGCAGCCCCGCGAGACGGCGCCCGCGCCCCCGTCCTCTCCGGCGCGGACTCCGTCGGCAGGGGCCAGCTTGTCTGGTCCCCGCCGCGCTCTTTGTCCTGGCCGCGCGCGGGCCGACGCGTGCGCCCCCCGGGTGAAGGGAGCGCGGAGAGCGCGCGGGAGCGCGCGGGAGCAGCTTGCACCCGCCACTGCCAGCAGCGCGCTCCCCTCCGCCAGGCAAGCAGCGAGCACGCGCGCCAGTCCGCACCCGCCCCTCCCCCGCGCTCGCCTCGGAACTTGCTGACTGCGCGGCCGGGAGGAGCCGAGCCGGGCGGCGGCGGCGGGAGGCCACAGCGCGCGGGGGTCTCCCGCGTCCCCTCCGCCTCGCTGGGAGCTCGC